AGCCCAGCCCCTTCCCCAGCCCTGCCTCGAGGCTGTGGGATGTGCTGTGCCACAGGGGTGCCCATCCCTGGCTGTCTCCAGCCCCTCTGGGGTGGGGCTCATTCTCCCGTGCCATGGTTCTAGCACAAGCGCCAGGCTTGCACGTCCCCAGTGATGGAGGGCAACGCTTCGTGAGCTGGCTCAGCCTGTGCTGTCCCTTCTGGCATCCACACCATCCACTACAGCTTTAACAAAGCCCTTCCACCACCTGTTCTCCTTTGGGCCAAAGTTATCTTCGGTGGCATGCTAATAGAGCTTAGAGCAACCAGGTTTCAGTGGCCAGCACTCAGGAAAAAGCTCCCCCTGCTCAGCCAGACTGAGAACTCGAGAGCAAAAATAGTCTGAGGAGTTTTGCTGCACCCTCCTGCTGCCCTGTGGGAGAAGCAACCTTCTGCCAAAGAGGGCAACACAGGTCTGACTGCTCACTGTCAGCTCTTGAAGATTAGCAGCCTTTTTCCAAGGTTCCCTTTAAACCAGTGATACGGGCTGAGCCTGCTTTATTTTTGGCTCCCCACTTACTGGTACAAAGGAGGGTGTCTCTGTAAATTTTCAAGCTGCAGCCCAGTGCATTCAAGGGACAGGAAACGTTGCATTCCTCTGAGCCATGCACAGCACCCACATGGTGTCTGGGGTGCCTGTAGCAGGTTGTGTCCCCTCAGCCCGAGGTGATGCCACCTTTGGAGGCACGTATGCCAGAACTCACAGCCCTGGCTGAGGTCCAGCCACGTACAGGATGGCAACACTAAGATCCTGGTGGCATTAAGGAGGAGGTGATGCTTATAAAAGAGTGCTGAGGGAGTCCTACCTTCACCACGTCCTCGTTTATGTGCTTTGGGTCTCTGTTCACCAGGTCGATCTCCTTGGTGTGCTGGTCCTTGATGATGATCCTCTCCTCCAGCTCGGTGTGCTCCTCTGCCATGGCTGCTCTGCCACCAGCTTGGCTCCGGATGGCCACGGAACTGGGGCTCTGCTGGGGGAGGCACCGGCCCCCCTCGCTGCCCGCAGCAGCTGCCCTGTGCCCCTGGCAGTGCTCCAGGCTAAAATTAATGTCCTGCCTCCTGCAGCCGCCCTGGCGTGTCCCTTAAAGGGGCTTTGCTGGGGACAGCCCCTGTGTGTCACCTCTGGGGTGCGTGTGGGCAGCTGGTGGCCCTTGAGCAGGGGCAAGGGTGGCACAGGGGGTGGAGAGAGTCCAGTGGAGGCTGTGAA